TGTGCAGGAGTGGCTGTGGGGGGTGTGCAGGAGGTGGCTGGTCGGTGTTTCTCTCTCATCAGTGTTTCTAGCTCTCTGTCTCTCTCCGTTCCTCTCTGTAAAAAATCAATAAAATGTATTTAAAATTTTAAAAAAGAAGAGGAAGAAGAAGAAAACGATAGAGATAAAAATTATGAACAAATACATATCTATCAACAAATGAATCTAAAAATGAAGGGAATAAAAAAATCTGATGAACAGAATAAACTGGTGAATATAATAGAATCAGAGGTATAGAATGGGAGTGAACTGACAATCCTCAGGGGGAAAGGGGTAGGGGGTATGGGAAGAAACTGGTCTAAAATCGTACACCTATAAATGAGGACAGTGGGGGTGAGGCTAAGGGCGAGGGTGGGGTGGAAACAGGGTGGAGGGGAACTATGGGAGGAAAAAAGAGGAACAAATGTAATAATCTGAACAATAAAGATTTAAAAAAAAAAAAACAAAGAAAAAAAAAAAACTGAACTTGCACCGTACTGCAAGTCACAGTATAATATCCCATCGGGTTCAGAAGCCCTCAAACACTTAGGAGGAGGGGCTGATACAAGGATCCAGGTCATTGGGAAGTCATGGTAAAATCCTGTCTCTCACAACCCCAATGGAGACAAGCAATCTACCATAGACAGAATTCCGAACATTGCTAATAAGGATGCTCAATGAACTTAGAGGAAGGGTAAAAAAAAACTTAGTGAAAACTTCAACAGAGATAGGAAATAAAAATGAAAAAAAAAGAACCAGTCAAAAATGAAATGAATGCAGAAGCAGAGAATCATATAAATGAAAACAGTCAATCAGAACAAGAAAAAGAAAACAGATTCTAAAAAATGAGGATATTGGAACCTCTGGGACAACTTCAAGCACAACATGTGCATTAGCGGGGTGCTGGAAGGAAAAAGAGAGCAAAAATGAAAACTTCTTTGAAAAATTATGACAGAAAACATCCTTAACCTGGTGAAGGAACTACACATACAAGCCCAAAAAACACAGAGAGATCCAAAGAAGATGAACACAAAGAAGTCCACACCAAGAAACTTCATAATTAAAATGGCAAAAGTTAAATAAAGACACAGACTCTTAAACACTAGAAGAGAAAAAAAGTTACCTACAAGGGAATTCCTATAAGACTGTCAGCCTATTTCTCAGAACCTTTTCTGGCCAGAAGGGATGGTGAAAATATTCAAAATGATGAAAAGTAAGGATGAACAGCCAAGATTATTCTACCCAACAAAGCTATCACTTAGAATCACAGGAGAGATAAAGAGTTTCCCAATGAGAAAAAAATAGCATAGGAAATCGCTACCAAACCAGTATTACAAATAATGTTAGCTTACTTTAAGAGAAAAAAGACAAAAAAATATAAAATAGCAATAAATACATATTAACAATTACTTAAAATGCAAATGGATCAAATGCTCCAATTAAAAGATATACAATGGTTGAATGGATAACAAGATCCTAAAATATGTTGTCAATAAGAGACTCACTTCAGATCAAAAGACACATGACAATAAAGGAATGGAAAAGGTATTTTATGAAAATGGTAATTTAAAAAAATGCTGGAATAGTCATACTTACACCTGATAAAATACTTTAAAATAAAGTCTATAACCAGAAAAATAGAAGGACCCAGCAATTCCACTTCCAGGCATTTATCCCCCGCAGAAAACAAAACACTGAATAGGAAAGACATATGTTTATTGCAGCATTATTTTAGTATATGTGCTGCCAAAGTGAGCACTACAGCATTATCTATAATAGCCAAGATATGAATGAAACCTAAGTGTCCATTAATAGATGAATGGATAAAGAAATTATGAATATATACAATGGAACATGACTGAGCCATAAAAGAGAATGACATCTTATCTTATGCAACCACATGGATGGATCTAGAGAGTATTGTATTCAGTAAAATAAGACATGAGTTCACTTATATGTGGTACCTAAAAAAACAAATGAACAGACAGAACAGAAACAGAGTGTCTGAATGAATAGTCGACCATTTGGTCAACCACTTGACTAGTTGCTATGATGTACACTTACCATCAGGGGGCAGTAGGTAGCTTGCCGCTGGGGTCCAGCTGATTGGGACTGGGTGAGAGAGCTGGACACATCCTGTAGTCCTCCAGCCAGCCGGCCAACCTCCTGTAGTTCCTCCCCAGCCGACTGGCCCCCATTGGCCCTGATCGGCCCCAATCACCAGCCAAGCTGAGGGACCACAACTGTGCAAGAATTTGTGCACCGGACCTCTAGTAGTCAATAATACTGTAATAATTATATATGGTATCAGATAGGTACTAGATCTATCAGGTGATCACTTCATGGTTATATTTAATCATGTGTTGTACAAAATAATGTATATCAACTGTAATTGAAAAAAATTGTTTTAAAAAGGAAAAACTAAAAAAGAAGTTAATTTTACTTTAATGTGGGGATGAAACATTATCTCCTAGTGTAGTGGTCACAAATTGGTATTCTGTGGACCACTGGTGGTCTGTAAGGTCTGAAAGGTTGGTGACTGTTTTCCTACTGTAGGTGGTAAAATTGGAGAAAGAAATGAAGATTTACCCAATATTATTTAGAGGGCTCAAAGATAGTCTTAAAAATCTATTTTTCAATATTAATTATTGGTACTGTTATAATTATCTACTAATTATTTAATAGAAAGGATTAAAGAGAAGACTAGATAATACAAGCATGCCATTTATACAGCTTTGCTAATTTCACACTCCCCACTGATCACTGGGAGAAGGTACTGGACAAAGGCAATTTGGACACGTGCCCAGTAAGGTCTCAGTGTTATAGGAAGGTGCTTTCCCATCAATCACACTTGGGAACAGGTAATTGGCCAGAATAGGCATGGCCACTGCATGTTAAATATAAAACCTGGATTATTTAAACTTCTGAACAAAGGGAATTCACTTTGGCTCTCTTGGCTCTTGCCTCTCCCATTTGCCTGTGAATCCTGTTGCCGGGGCACACTCCCCAGCATTTTCCCATATGGATTGTGGCTTACAGCCATGTGGGATCCACACAATGGACACAATCTGGACTGATTGTAATGGATTCAGCTCCAAAATGAAAGTGACACTTTGGGGTTCCTTTTGGCTCCCCTGGAAACCCAGCAGCACCTTTCTTACGACTGGTTGAAGGGCCATGAGAATTCATAATCCAAGAAATATAATTTCATGCCAATAAAACCTATTCATTTTTCTGCATGAATCTTAGAAGAAAATTATTTTTCTATGAGGAAAGGGCAGAGGGTGGGGTGGGAACCTAAAGGAAGAGAGCAATAGAGAGAAAAAAAATGAAGAATATTTGTAATAACATGAACAATAAAGATTTATTTTAAAAAATTATTTTTCTAAAAATATTTTGACTCCACTCCCATGATCAAAGGAGGAATTTGATTCTCTGGTAAAACTTTTTTCTCTAACACATCTTTTCCTTTTTTTTTTTTTTTTTTAAAGAACTATGCTTTAGCTTTTTTATTTTTTAAAACTCACACAAAGATGTTTTTATTGTTTTTAGAGAGGAAGCATGAGAGACGGAAACATTGATGTGAGAGTATGCCTCCCATATGTGCCCCAACCAGAAATCAAACTGCAACCTAGATATGTGTCCTGACCATGAATTGAATCCAAAATATTTTGATTTATGGGATAACATTCCAACCAACTGAGCTACCTGGCCAAGGTTATTTTAGCTTTTTAACTAAAATAACCATCAACCAGAAACCTTTTACATCAACCTTTTTAATCTATAAAAATGCCATGCAAACAAACTACAAAATATATCAATATAGAATGAAAATACCCAATTTATTTTATGCATTTTTATTTAATAAATAACTTCAGTAAACAGCATTGTAAAAAGTGAACTATTAAAATTAAAAGACACTTAAAATAAGAATGTGATCAGTATGAAACAAAATGGGCAACTCAAACAGTGAGGAGTAAATGTACAGTGGTCTGTTATACAGCACTAACTGAAAGTATGACTGGCACAGTGATAGCTGTTGCTTAAGCTAACTTCACATGTTCATTAAAAAGGCTAATTTACAGCTACTAATTAAAGTACTAATTAAAAAAGTCTTATCTCAAAATTGTAAATACGTTAAATGATTAGAAGTGGTGATAAAAGCACCAGGCTTTAAACAGAATAACCCAAAAGTTATCCAATTCAAAAAATACTATGTAAATTAAGGCCGTTAGGTAAATAATGTTAAATTAAGGACTTTTTTGCAGAAAAATTTCCAATATTTTTATCCAAGGCTTGAATTTATAGAGAGAATGCATGAAAATTCCAAGAATTAGTAATTCTTAAAATGGCACACAGATTTTCAGGCTGTTTTTCCCCATCCTAACTGACATTTTCCCATGGCCTTTGTATATCAAACATTTAAAAAAATATTTTATATAACTAACTCCTAATATACTCATTCATCTTGCAGATATGCCATTAATCATTCTAATAGGAAAATAGCAAAATAAATTTAAAATAATTTCTAAGCCAGTTAGTAAGATGATTTGTTTGTTTGTTTTTTTATAACTGAAAACTGACATATCTGTAAAGTTAAAAGTCAGTTTGAATACTTGATTAAAAGAAAATCTCAGCATATTCACTACTTTAACTACTGTTCTTTCAATCATTCTAGAAATAGCACTTAGTCAAATAAGAGCTTGATTTTCAATAGTCCAGGAAGAAAAGGTAAAAAAGGCACAACGTGACCTTAGCTGACAAGGATAACCATCCTGTCTCAAGTATTATGTCAGTCCCTGGCATTGATTATAATATTATTTTCAAAATAACAAAAAACATTTTTAATTATACATATTATATACATTTTCAAAACCTACATGAGTAAAATCCATGGAGACAATTCCCTAACGCTACCTTCCTCTGTGACTATGAAATTCGCTATTTTGCATTCAATGTTGTAAAATTGGTATAGATAGTGCTCATTTTCCCTCATACTTCGGATTGACAACAGTTGTCACGGCACTCTTATAAATAGGATTTTCACCCTAAAAAAAAAAAAAAAAGAGAGAGAAAAATGATCAGTTACTCTACTAAAATCATGTAATACTATTTTATTTTATTTTTTAAAAAAATATATTTTATTGATTTTTTACCGAGAGGAAGGGAGAGAGATAGAGCTAGAAACGTCGATGAGAGAGTAACATCGACCAGCTGCCTCTTGCACACCCCCTCCCGGGGATGTGCCCGCAACTAAGGTACATGCCCTTGACCGGAATCGAACCCGGGACCTTTCAGTCCACAGACCGACGCCCTACCACTGAGCCAAACCGGTTTCGGCATGTAATACTATTTTATAAAACAATATAAGCTATAAGGTCAATATAAGGTCATTTTCAGAAGTTGTTTCCATTTTATTGATAGAAATAACACATAAAAAATTTTTTTAAAGTACAAATAAAAGTTTATGCAAATATGTATATTGAAAACTTTGCTCTATAGATCTAAAGGTATACCTAGGAACTCATATTATTTCATTCCTGAGTCCATTCTTTACTGGAGTTGACTGGAGAATATCCTCCATAGTAGAGAATGTGCTGTTATGGTTTCTCTTTTAGTAATTTTGAATGCCTTTTTAAAGAAAGAGTTAACTATTTTGCCACCAACAGCCCAATTCTTAACTCTTTATGGTACACAGAAGGTACTTGATAATTAATAGGAGTTCTTACTTTAATTTTTGTGAGGAAGGGGAACTGTTCTCCTGAGGTTATTCCAAAAGTGTTACTGATTTAGAGAGTTTTGAGGTAAGGTTGTCAGTGTCACTGATGGTGTTGAGCCTCCACCAAGTCATCAAATTTGCTTAGAATGTTAACAAACATGATTATCATTCTTCAGAAAATAGTTGTTATTCTTCAATATTGTACTGGTGAAGTGTCTTAATTTTATTGCAATAGTATATTTTAATAAGGAGTAATGAAATTAAGTCTAGTAAACAAGTCGAAGTCATAAATACAAAAGATTTCTCAAAATCCAAAAATATGTTTAGTGATGTTTTAAGCAGAAAAACAACTAAGAAAAAAAAAAGTAAAGGAAAAGGAAAAGAAAAACATTCATGATAGCCAGGGAAGTTCAGGTTAAGAAAAATAAATAGGAAAATAATGTACAATCTCACACTACCATTTTCTTAAGAAAATCTCATGCTATCTGGTACATTCAAATATCTGCTATAACAAGCATTCTTTTTTCTCCTGTTCTTATAAATTGAAGTAGACTTGAAAGCCAAGAAATACAGGCAAATAATTCTCTATCAGAAAATTACAACAGACACTTCACAATGGAGATAGGAAATTGGAATCTCACAACTACATTCTTAACAAATTATAAAGCACAAATAAGTTACACTTACCTTCCTATCTGCATGTAATATTACCCATTCTTTCAAATATGCTGGGAAGATAAATAACCATTTCCTTAAGTTTATCCTATATAATAAAACCCTAATATGCTAAGTGTCCGGTCAACCATTCAAAGTGTAATATGCTATGGCAACTCAACCACTTGCTATGACATGCACTGACTACTAGGGGGCAGACATTCTGACTGGTAGGTTAGTTGCTGCTAGGGTCCAGTTGATCGGGACTGAGCAAGACAGGCCAGGCACTCCCTAGAGTCTCCCTGCAGTCCCTCCCGAGGCCCCAATCGTGCACAATAGTGGTGGAAGGGGGGTGGGGGATGTGTATCCATCAGCCTGGCCTGTAGCCTCTCGCAATCAGGAACCCCTCAGGGGATGTTGGAGAGCAGGTTTTGGCCCAATCCCACAGGCCAGGCTGAGGGACCCCACTGGTGCACTGGAACTCAAGTTTAAAATAAGTACATTAGGTAAGTCTAATATTTAATACTTAAGAATTGTAAAGGAGGTACCAAAACAAAACAAAACAAAACAACACAGGAAACAAAAAACAAAAGAGGAAAAAACACTTGTTACTGATGAGCTCAAAATGCAATTTATATGGCAGATCTTACCTCTGGAGAACAGTGTGCCTTTTCATATATACAAACATTTATATTTATTATTTCAAAGTCCACTCAAACAAAAATTCAACATGCAAGGTTAAAGGTAAACTGAAACTAATCTACATTAGGCATCATTTTAAATGGAGGTAAACTAAAATAATTCATATTAGTTTTCATTGTTCAGAATGCAACCCCACCACTATCCCAACAAAAATACAAAGCCTATTTAAGTCAAAAAATAGGATTATATTCAGTAAAATTTCATCTTTGTGCGCACTCTAGAATAGCTGACAAGGGCAGCTACAGAATCACCCCTATAAAATATATTAGATTTACAATGCACACTGTGGACAATTAGGAATGCATTTACATTAACACCAGAGGAGGGCAAACGAGACAACTTTTGAAATCACCTTAACAATTATAAAGTTAATAATTTGATTTTTCTAATGTCCCTATGTGTTAAAATAATGTTTTATGTGTTAAAATAATTACAGTGGCTGCCCATTATCTCAAATACATTAATAACATAATAGATTAGCAAAATTTGGTCCCATATCAGAAACGTTCTTTACAAGCTTGACTTATTTTAATTTTTATTATTTATTTCTACTTTAACTTTTATTGAGAAAGCTCAAAATAATTTACCATCTCACACTACCATTCTGTTTGTCTGTCTGGATTTCACTAATGAATAAAGACATTTTACTTTTGCTTCTTGAATTATCCAAAAATACTTATTTTTGTTGAAAAAAAATAACATATTAGCCAAAAATTAAGTTAGCAATACAGACATTAAGTTTCACTAATATTGGTAATTTTCTTCAAAGTACAATTTAATATACAGCGAAGGTGAAAATTTCACCTTTCAGTAGGACATATAGAATTTTCTATGAGAAGTAATCATATGAAATTATCAATATTTGACAGTTTTTGACCTAACACAAGAAAGAAAGGAGGGAGGGAGGGAGGGAGGGAGGGAAGGAGGGAGGGAGGGAGGGAGGAAGGGAGGGAGGGAGGAAGTTAAGCAACAGGTTTCTTCTGGAAAGTATTAGATAAGAAAAACAGTGACAATTCTCAGACTAATATGAAAACGGACCAATGTATCCATATATGAATCTGATTATAATTTGCTGGCATCAAATTTAACTTTGTCATTTCAAAAGTTTTAAAATCTGCTTTGAAATAAAAGAAAAATCAGGCCAGTAATGGTTTCTATTATTGATACTTCCTTTATGTTTTTTTTAAACATTTCTATATTAATATCTTAATTATCATTTTATAAGAAAAACTAGTGTTGGTTTCAATGTACTAAAGTGCTTTCCCCATTACTATGTTTGCCCAACACAGTAGTGTTACCCTAAGTTACAACAAATGTCAAAAAGCTTAATAATTCTAAAAAAAAAAAAAAAAAAAAAAAAAAAGCTTAAAAATTCTCTACAAAGAGTGATCTACCTCTTCTTAACCAGGTAATAGTCTCCTGAAGAATATGTGATTGCTACCAGTACAATGTAGTGGATACCATGAGCTGGACCCCAAATACCTGGGATTGAATCTCAGCTCTTCCACTAACCAGATATAAACCTGGGTCAAGTTACCTAATCCTTTTTGTGCCTTAGTTTTCTCTCATGTGAAATAAAAATAGATGGGAAAGAAAAAAGATTTCTGAATAACCGGTCAGGAGAATCTGTTCTAATCACAATGCTTTTATCACAGAGTTTTATGTTAGAAGCATTTCATGAAAATTCAGATATAAGGAAGAATCCTGTCCACTACTGACAAGAGTTGATTAATTTGTCATCCAGGTATAACACAGACTCATAAAAATAACTGGCCCTAGCTTAGAGGATAAGCAAACCTTATCCTATCTAATAAAAGAGTAATATGCAAATTAACCGCCACTCCATCACAAAAGATGGTGGCGCCCAGTCCTCTCACTCTCAGCCCTGCTGAAGTCCTCCAGTCCTAAGGGGTGGCCTCTGAGCACAGAGCCTGCTTGGCCATCGCTGCAGTGATCTGGGAGCGGCCAAGCGGGCCCTGCAAACAGCAGGCCTACGTCGTCAGTAGGACATCCCCCGAGAGGTCCTGGATTAGAGGTGCAGGTCGGGCTGAGGCCCCCTCCCCCTCTGTGCATGAATTTCATTCTCTGGGCCTCTAGTTATAACTATAAAAATATCTAAGTTTGAAATAAAACTGTGATAGGATTTTTTTCTCTTACAAGTTTTTGTTAGTTTTTTTTTTTAAAGTTCAATATTAGATTTAAATATTAGACTGATTAAAAAACAAGATATATATATATATATATATATATATAGTGACTTATATAAATAGAAGGTCTTCTGGTTATTAATAGAATTTCAATTTACAATCAAGAATAAAGAATCTCAAAATAGTTCTAGAACCAACAATGTTATACCCAGTTATATCCATTTTTTTCTATTTTCCAATTGAGATATCACATTCATTTTTTACTATTTTACTTAAAACATGCATATGATAAATGATCATTTCCAAACTATTGGTCTGTAATGAGGATTATAACTGACATGCTGCTATCATATCAGTTAAAAACAATCACATTACACAACAGACATTATTACTGACTCCTTGTTAAAAATATGAAAAACTAAAGCGCTAGAAAGTGAGGGGCTCACAGCTATTCTACTTAGTGGAAGAGCTGGGATTTCACCCTAGTCAGTCTGACCACAAAGCACATTGTCTTTTCACAACACCAGCTGATGCTTCTAGCCCATTTTTTAAAACCCTTCTAAATACTAACTCTAAATTAAACACACACACACACACACAAAGCCATAGTATAGTCATATAAATAAAGCCAGACATTTAAAAAAAATAGCAATAGTGATAAAGGACACACAGTGCAATCAAAAAGAATAAAAGTTCACATGCAAAGACAGAAAATGAAAGAAAATACGAACGGCAACTTAGAGACCAGCTTTATGTCCATAGTTTGGATTCTTGAAATTATTAATAGGACTCTTGTAAATCGGATTTTCTTGCTAAAGTAAAAGAAATAGTTTCTAATGATTTCATCAGAAAAAATAAATGACAAGTGTAGTGTTTAAATACTATAAAGGAAAATTTTTACTATTTTACTAACTTTACTATTTTTATACTTCTGAAATTATTTTTTAAACCCCAGCAAATTGTACTATAATGCAAATGACTAAAGTCCATTTATAATTTAAAAATACTGAAAATTGTCATAGCCTTCCTTTATCAAAAGACAAATACACACAAGTGCCAACATCTGGCCATCCCACCTCTGACTTCAAATTTCAAAGCCAACGCTAGCACAAACTTTTAGCCACTAACAGCTTTCAAAAGGTTTTATAAAGCAAGGTTTATTGAGTCATAATTCACAGAGGGTAAATTTATCTCTTTTAAAGTACAGGTTCATTAATTCTCAAATGCATCAACATACCCACAATTAAGGTCATCCCAAGAAGATGACCCCCACTTCAACCCAGATCTGCTCTCTGCCCTATAGTTTTGCCTTTTCCAGAATGTCATAAAAATAGAATCATACAGTGTACAGCCTTGAGTCTGGCTGCTTTCTACTTAAGGTTCTTTGTTGAAAAAAAAAAAAAAAAGAAAAAAAGAGAGGGGGGGGAAGCATAGGGGGGGGAGAGAGGAAAATCTTTCCATTGTATAGGATTCTAATTTACATGAGATTAAAAAGGCAGAATAAATTTAAAACCAAAATTTTAAGGAAGTAAAAATAATGACCACAGTAACCAGAAGATACATTCCTACAGTATTTTATTTTAATGGAATATATTTAAGATGTTTTGCTTCTTCACTAAATGTAAGTTCTCTGAATAATGAACTTACGGAGGAATAAAACACTTAGTGAGGGCTTTAATAATCAGTTTTAGATTTAATAAACAAGTCTCAGAAGTATTACTCTTACTTTATCACTGACCTTACTTTATCACTGCAACTTACCGTGTCCCATTTGGCATTCATCTTTTCCTTTTCAAATTTGGCAAATTCCCTTCTGTCGTGAATTATCATTAAAAGTTTCCAAATCAGCAGCAATGCAAGACCAATCAGAACAATTCCAGCAACCACACCAGCTACAATTGGGATGATGTCTGGACCAGTGGGACACTCTATAAAATATGAAGAAAAGACTGAGTATACGAGGGATTAATGTGTGTAGAATAAAGCCAAAACTACAAAGAATGGGGCAGTCACATATAAAAAGAATGCAGATTATCACAAGAATCTATAAAAAAAAAAACAACTCTAGAACTAAGGAGTTGACAAGGCCCCAGATTACATGATTAATAAACAACAAATCATTATGTATTTCTGTATGTTATATAGAAATTTATTTTTACATAATAGAAATTGAATTTTAGAACAGTATCCTCTCAATAGCTTAAAAGTCATAAATCCAACAAAATGTATGCAACTTTGCATTTGCTAATCATTCTTAAACACTGGTGAAAGAAATTAATCTATATTCATGGATTAGAAGACACAACACTGTTAAAATACCAATTTTCCTCTAACTTGATCAATGCAACCCCAATCAAAATCCTGGCAGAACTTATATAGATACTAGAGGCCCAGTGCATGAAATTCATACACTCAGGGGAAGAGAGGGAGCCCTCATGGGATATATGACGGCTTAGCGCTGCCATGGAGGTGCCATTGAACTCACCAGTCATGAGCCCCGCTTCTGGCTGAGCAATGCTTCCCCCTATAGGAGCGCACTGACCACCAGGAGGCAGATAGTGCAAAGTGTCTGCCCCCCTGGTGGTCAGTGCGCATCATAGCGGCTGGTCATCCTGCCATTCGATCTCTTTGCATATTAGCCTTTTATTATATAGGACTAGAGACCCAGTGCATGAATTGGTGGACAGGTAGGGTCTGACCGGCCCACACAGACTAGAGCTGATCCTGCTCAGCAGGCCGGGGTGGAGGTTGATAAGAGGCAGGGCCAGCCAGGAGGAGGGGCCTCAGGTGGCTGGCTGGTCCCTGGGTCAAACTCCTGGTCCCCAGTAGAGGGGACAATTTGCATATTAGCCTTTTATTATATAGGCTCTCAAATTTACAAAAAAGGCAGAGAACTAGAAAAATATTACAAAAACACTTGTCAACTCACTTGTTAATTCTAGAGCCTATTTTATAGATTCTTTGGGATAATTTACATTCACTTTTGGAAAAGAACAAAGTTGGACAACTCACAATACCAGACTTCAAGAGTAGTATAAAGTGACAATAATTGAGACAGTATAATATTAGCTAAACGACAGTTGCATAGATTACTGAAATATAGTCCCACGTACCTAAATTTATCTCATTTTTAACAAAGGTTAAGAAAGGTTAGTCTTTTCTATAAATGGTGCTAGAACTACTGGAGATTCATATGTAAAAAAACTAAAACCTCACTCCATAAACTAAGATTAACTAAAAAAGGGGTATAGACCAAAACAAAAAAGCAAAGCTATAAAACTTCTAGAAGAAAACACAGGAGAAAAGTCCTTATGAACTTAAGTTCTCAGATTAAATAACAAAAATAAGATATATAAAAGAAAAACTTGGTAAACTATAGTTCAATTAATAGTAAAGCTTCTGTTTAAAAAACAAACAAAACAAACCTGTTAAACAAAATGAGAAGACAAGAGGGAAAGACTGGGAGACACTACTATAAAACACAAATATGAAAAGTCAAGATAGTACAGGCTTTTAAAACCAGTTTGGGTTTTCCTTATAAACATATACATAACATATATCTCCCAAATCCATTTCTAATATTTATCCAAGAGAAATGAAAACTTACATTCCCACAAAAAAGCCAAAGATATTTTAAGTGTATAGAAATACCAAAAAATACTTTATCTTCTGAGAAACTGAACAAACTCATACTTTATAATATCCCAAAGTTAGATATCATCAATAACGAGATAATGCTTACTGAATACCTACTAAATGCCCTAAGTGATGAGCATTGCACCAATATGGATTATTGAACTTAATCTTCAAACTCTTCACTCATAAAACTTAAAACTTGCCTTCTCTTTTCCTCATTTCTTATATAGTTAATACTCTTTGAGATAAAAAAATGTCACAACATGAACTAAAATAATAATTCCTGTATTTTAGAGAGACTGCCAATAAGCATACGTAGTAAAAACAAGACATAAAAAGAAACAAAATGAATTTTGAAATGATCAGATTTTACCTGGAGTCTCTACAACATGTACAATGGCCTCATTGTTCCCATTCACTGAATATGTGAAATAGAACCAGCAATCGTCAACATCCTTCTCCTTACAGTGGGACAGGGGATCCACCTGGCCTGGCTGGGGCAATTTGTCCCGACTTTCAACCTTGGTAATGTTAAAATGGGAACATTCCTGTGCACATGTGTCTTTCTTTTCTCCTTTATTGAAGGCTCTGCACTGAACACATTCTCTGTTGAAACACAAATTGTTACACTTAACCTTTATTATTTAAAATATTTGCTTAAAGATTATTTTGTGAGCTAGACTCAAAATCTGACCAAATTAAACTAAGAACTATGAAAGATTTGAATAAATTAAGAGGCATATGACATTTCTCAATGAGCAACTAAATATAATTTCCCAAATGAAACTATAATTACAGTTCAAAGTAAAATCCCAAAAAAGAAATAAAATAGTAAAATAAAACTAGCCCTATCAGATATTAAGTATATAACATAAAACCAAAGGAACTTAAACTATGTGTTGTTGATACAATAACAGTTCTTCAAGGGCAAGACCTTCAATTGTGCTAAGTCAAAAGATGCTAATTAGCAACTGGTATTGCTAATTCATCAACAGTCACCACATAGATTTGATTATATAGCAAATTCAGCAAATTAACAGTACCACCCTTAGATGACACATTTCAACATCATGTGACAAACACTAGCAATTGAGAAAGAATATTTAAGATTGAAAAGCAGGCTTCTGTGTGGCAGAAACTATTTACAGTGTAAGTTACTATAGGTACTGTTCTGGATTTAGGAGTAATAGTGTAACAAACAGTAAATATCAACTATTTCAAGTAATCAGGAATACTTACTTATGCTCAGCACAGACACCAAGGCAGGTCTGACACATCTCACAAGTTGGGCCTTGAAACTTGGGGTCTGTGCATTTACAGGCACCGCACTCACACACGCCCCGGCCATTGCAGATCTGTCCGTTTGTGGCCATGCATGAAGTTGTGTCCAGAGAGCAGTCACATGCACTGCCCGTGTAGTTAGGATTGCATTCACACACACGACACTTGCAAACACCATTTCCTGAAATTAAAAATATAATTTATCTTAACAATGGTAAAACATAAAAATCAGAGCATTGATTTAAAAGCAAAAATAAGCAATAATGCCCAAGAAAGTTTATGTAAAAGATGAACTGATTCTCAATGCTGTCCTTTTTTATTTATTCACCAAGCATACTTGAACTTTTTTATTATATTAGATGGTAATCACATTTTATAACCATTTTTCATAATCCCTTTCTCACCTCCACAAATTAAGCCATTGGATCTATCACAGTTGAAATTATCACACTCGCAGAATTTGCCAGAATAAATTTCGTTTGTATTATCCCTCTTTCTACAAACACACTGTCCACAGACACACTCTCCATTGTTACTACAGATTTCTGAACTGTTTTCTTTCCTGCAATAGGCATCCATATCTTCACTGTTAACTTCATCTGTGCTACATTCACAATGTCTGCCAACACGTCCCTCATTGCACCTAAAGAAAGAGTCCAAAATTTCAATTACATACAAGAAATAACAAAACAAGTTAGGCTGTGAAAAACAATGGGAGAGGAAATAAGACTATGAACAACATCTTTAATTTATAATTATATTATATGGGAGTGTTTGTGTACCCAAAAGTGTACATATGCACACATACCAGCCATTCAAGTTCAGATGCAGGGTCGAGAAAAAATCCTTTCTTCAAAGAGTAACCATTTTAACTAAGATGAAAGTATAATCTAGCAATAAACAGGTGAATAAAACATTTAGGAACAGGATAAATTTATTTTAAAGGATATATTTTCAAACTGTTAATCTAAAAAAGTACAATAAATACACTATAAAAGTATATGGAAGTTGAAAACACTGAGCTTATCACTTGAACATACTGTTTAAAAATAAATATATCTTATGGGTCCAGACTTTTTGGACACACTGTATATTTTTAAAACACCTAATGCTTACAGACACTGAATACACTAATTCTGTATCTAGTAAATATAAAGGGAAGGAAAGCAAAACATTTTCAAGGTAATTTTTTTAAAGAATTATTTTACTAAAAATAGGTCTATATGTCTCATGATATATACATGAAAAATAAAAAATTTAACATTTTAATTGCTATTTAAAATTGAGTTAACAACTGATGATTAAATACATTTTTTTTCTCATGATTAAAACCCTTATGAGCCCATTTGGAGCTGACTTTAATCAAAATACTCTCCCTTGCTCCTATGACTTTTTTAGAGGGAATACAGAGTATTTTAATTTTAACTTTTAATTAAAAAGTAACCTGAGTGTAAAAATAAATTTTAAAATATGATTAGAGTTAATTTGATTCTTTTAAAAAATATATATTTTATTGATTTTTTACAGAGAGGAAGGGAGAGAGATAGAGAGCTAGAAACATTGATGAGAGAAACATCAACCAGCTGCCTCCTGTACACCCACTACTGGGGATGTGCCCGCAACGAAGGTACATGCCCTTGATCGGAATCGAATCAGGAACCCTTCAGTCCACAGACCAACACTCTATCCACTGAGTCAAACCAGTTTTGGCTGATTCTAAGTTCTGAAATACTGTTTTCTCTTTAATTTTGCAAACTGTATCCTTTCATTTACTTTTTTTTTTTATATATATACAAACACATTGATGGTTTGATGCATGTGCCCTGACCAGGGCCAGGGATTGAGCCTGCAACTTAGGTAGTATATACCTTTGATAAGAATCAAACCTGGGACCCTTCAGTCCATAGGCTGATGCTCTATCCACTGTACAAACCAACTAGGGCCAAATGGATTCATTTTTTTTAAATTATTCCAACAATATAGAAGTAAATATACTATGTCGTTCATATGTGAATATCCTTTACTGCTTCCTAATTCCATTTCCCAGATAAAATCACCATTATAACTTTGGTATATTTTTCCAAAACATCTTTATAAACATATTTATATAAGCTTATTTAGCTTTAGAAAACTCAGATTGCTATTATAGGAGAGGAAATCCAAATGTTACCTTAACAGTTTGTTTTAAATATACCTTGGATGGCTATAAAAGCTTTTATTTTAAAGAGTAGTCTTAAGAAAAAAGACAAGGAAGAACTTTCTATAAATAGTACACGCAAGATTATAAAACTAATCTTGTGATAAGCAACAGTAATTGGAACAAAACATTTATTTGTTCCATATAGAGATTTTTTTTTTCTGGTTGTCCCAAAACATAGCTTGTCTATATGTTTCCAACACAATCAATACTTCTCCAATCACTTGCAGCTTACCTGCAAGCTCCACACTCAAATGTTCCATTCCCTTCGTGACACTTTGGACTGCTAGGAATGCCTTCACTTTGGCAGTCACACTCACAGATGAACTGAAGAATAATCTCTACTTCTTCAGTGAATCCCAGAGGTTTAATTTTAATGGTTTCAGAATTCTTATTTGGACATTTATTTGAAGTTATACTAATTTCAAATTGAACCTTAAAGGAAAAAAACAAGATTAAGTTTTAAGTTAACAACTAAGCAATTTAAATCTACTAAAAATATTTTAAAGAGCTCTCCATTTCTTTTATTCTCAAATTATAAACTTGATTGCTTATATAAAACAGTAATATTTTTTTTCCTTTTCTTCAGAAAATGTTTATACAACCTACCTCATCTCCAATGGAAATATTGGAGCATTTTCTTCCATTTTCCCCTGTTCCATTCACCCCATTTTTGCAGTAAGATTTATAACTTATTGTTACTCCTTCTGGCAATTTGCTGTTTTCCAAAATTACTTCTGAGGAAAGGGACTAAAGCAAAGACTAATTACACATAGGAAAGGCAAACAAAATGCTACTATAAGTTGAATGCATAAAACCAATGGGTCCATTAAGAAAACAGTATCCTATATAATAAAAGCCTAATATGCTAAGTGTCCGGTCATCCATTCGATCAATCAAACCCTAATACACTAATGATATGCTAAGGCTGCTCAACCACTCATTATGATGTGCACTGACCAACAGGGACAGTTGACTGGATGATCAGTCGCTAAGACGTGTACTGACCATCACGGGGCAGATACTCCAACTGGCAGGTTAACTTGTTGCTGGGTCCTGCTGATCGCTGATCAGTCTGAGCAAGATGGGCCAGACACGCCTAGAGCCCACTCATGGTCCCTCCCAAGCTGGACAACCTCCTACTTCCCTCCTGAGCCCTTATCGTGCATGGGGGGGGAGACAGGGAGGAAAGATCTCTTGGCCTGGCCTGTGCCCCCTTGCAATCTGGGACCACTTGGTAGATGTTGGAAAGCCAATTTCGGTCCAATCCCACAGGTAAGTCTGAGGGACCCCCACTGGTGCATGAATCTGTGCACCGGGTCTCTAGGCATTTAAATAAAATGTTTGAAGCCAAATCCTGGGTGCCTAGAAAACACAGAACCTAGAGAAATAAAATCTAATTAATAAGAACCAATTCTTCAAAATAATGCATATGACTGAAAAGTAAGAGTATTTGTGCTTCAATTACTAAGTTAAAATGTTAATAATCATATAGCACAGAAGCCTGATACCCTATTTCCCCAAAAATAAGACAGTGTCTTATATTAATTTTTGTTCCCAAAGATGCGCTAGATCTTATTTTCAGGGGATGTCTTATTTTTCCATGCGCTAGGTCTTATTTTCGAAGGATGTCTTATTTTAGAGGAAACATGGTATTAATTATGAGGACTCCCAAGAACTCGGAACCAAAATTTTCTTTCCCCATTGCCAATATGGCCCTATGATTTCATCTAGCATGGGACTAAGGTAAACAATCTACTATACGTGAGAACAAATTTCCTTAGAAATGATGGTAGCCCTGGGGAAAAAAACAACAAATGCACACATAAAAACACAAAACAACTACAACAAACAAAAAACACCAATAGCTCCAAAGTAAGAAGGATTCAAACCAGTGACTTTTAGAATATGAGAATGCTTAGGACAAATGCAAAAGGTTGCAGCAGCAAGCTATAGCTTGTACACAGTCCTGCAAGGATGGGAATTTATGCTATTAAGGTGAACTATAGACATGAAACAACTAGAATCTTGAAAATGTTTGTAAAAACCTCTCTTTTTGAGTAGGTCATCCTAAAACATTTTGGGAACCCCTGACATGAACTAAAAATATATATTTTAAAAATACCTAAAATTCAACTTGTCAAGGAAAGGAGATAATGAACATAGCACACAATGGTTACTGTAATGTTACAAATGCCTTCAGATTACTTAAATGATCATTAAGTATTGATTATTAATCACTTTAAGTAATCTGAAGGCATTTGTAACCAATACTTAATGAGTATCACTATAGGTACTCTGATTAAGCTACAGACAAAGCAAAGAATTCCTTTTTAATTTCAATATAACTTCCTCCCACGTGTGTGGGGGAAAAATCTTATAAATCCTTTAAAACAGTTGTCATATATATTTAAGTTTTTACATATATTTTATAGTACATGCACATCTTGAGAATAGAAAACTATATTGCTTAAATATATAGCAAGAAAAAAATTGGCAAAAATACAAGCATCAAAATAGTTAAACCTATAAAGGATTCTTGGGAAGGAAAAAGAAGACTGAGGTAATCCTATAAATCTAAATATGAGTTATATTTCCCATTTGCTTTCCAATAAGACTATTTACTTCACGACATTCAAATGGATACTTAAGACATTTTCACCACATGCCTTCATCATATTTTTGCTTTGTTTAGACTATATAAATAACTAGGACAAATGCAAAAGGTTGCAGCAGCATGACAAGTGTATTCTGGGGAGTGGGGGTTGGGTCCCTCAGGCCAGCCTGCATCCTCTCACAGTCTAGGGGCCCTAGGAGGATGTCCCTGAGACAGGCTTCCAGCTGTACTGCGCTCTCCCTGTGTGAACACACTGACCACTAGGGGCAGCTCCTGCATTGAGTGTATGCCCCCAGGTAGTCAGTGTGCATCATAGCAACTGGTTGTTACGCCATTCAGTCTATTTTGGATATTAGCCTTTTATTATATAGGACAAGAAGCCTAGTATACAAAATTCATGCACTAGAGGGGAGGGGGTATCCCTTAGCCTAGCCTGCACCCTCTGCAATCTGGGCCTAAACCAGCAGTCGGATATGCCTCTCACAATCCAGGACTGCTGGCTCCCAACCGGCTCACCTGCCTGACTGCCCCTAACTGCTTCTGTCTGCCAGCCTGATCATCCCCTAACTACTCCCCTGCCAGCCTGATCGATACCTAACTGTTCCCCTGCTGGCCCGATTTGCTACCAACTGCCCTCCCCCGCTGGCCTGGTAAGCCCCAACAGCCCATCCCTGCCAGCCCAGTAGCCCCCAACTGCCCTCCCCTGCCGGCCTGGTCGCCCTTAACTTCCCTTCCCTGCTGTCCTGGTCGCCCTTAACTGCCCACCCCTGCCAGTCCAGGCTCCCCCAACTGCCCTTGCCTACAGACCTGGTTTCCCCAAAATGCCCTCCCCTGCCAGTCTGATCACCCCTAACTGTCCTCCCCTGCAAGCCTGATCACCCCCAACTGCCCACCCCTGCTTACTTGATTGCCCACAACTGCCAGCCATCTTGTGTATTGAAGTGATGATCAATTTGCATATTACTTCTTTATTAGAAAGGATTTGGAGGCCCGATGAACAAAATTTGCTCATGGGGTGTGGGGGGAGTGGGCTGGTTTCCCAGCCCAGCCTGCACCCTCTCCAATCTGGGACTCCTCAAGGAATGTCCAGTGGGATCAGACCTAAATGGGCAGTCAGACATCCCTTCTACAATCCAGGACTGCTGGTTCCCAACCACTCACCTGTCTATCTTCCTGATTGCCCCTAATGGCTTCTGCCTGCCAGCCTGATCATCCCAACCACACTGCTGCCAGCCTGATCGATGCCTAACTGCTCCCCTGCCAGCCCGATGGCCCTAAACTGTACCCCCTGCTGGCCTGGTCACCCCTAACTGCCCTTTTCTGCAAGCTGGTCGCCCTCAAATGCCCTCCATTACTGTCCTGATCACCCCTAACTGATTTCCCTTGCCAGCCTAGTTGCCCCTAACTGTCCTCCCTTGCCAACCTGGTTGCCCCCAACTGCCTTCCCCTTGCAGGCCTGATCTCCCCCAAATGCCCTCCCCTGCAGGCCTGATTGGCCCTAACTGCCCTACCCTCCCAGACATCTTGTGGTGACCATCTTATGATGTTTACATGGGGGTGGCCATCTTGCGTGTTGGAGTGATGGTCAATTTGCATATTACCTCTTTATTATATAGGGTAATACTTTTTTAAGATATTGTGAGATTTTCCTCCAGATATACAGAATTTGAATTTTATGTTGTCCTCTGGTTTTGCTATATTGTGTAAGAAGGGAGTTTTATTTCTTTAAGCACAGTCCTCTCAACAGGGTACTGTTCAAATAGACTGTTATTTAAAATGTACTCACATTGTATGCATCAATGATCAACTGAATTACATTGCTGGAATTTGCAGATAATGTTCCTACTGCTGACTTAGGAATCAAATTTTTCAGTTCCTGCAATTAAAAGATAAGCATATAAAATGCAAATATAGCAATTCAATAGGTAAGTTAGTACTGAATACTTAATTTTAAATACCAGTGCCCAAATAACCTGTTCTAGAAGTTTGATGTTCTTTTAATCTCACATATATATTTACCTTGTAAACAGGCTGAAATTCTTCAGTAACTGCAAAAATCGTCTGAATGTTATTTTCACTTAATTTCTGGACAAGGTGAGCAATGGAAGGATAATCCTAAGAAATTAAATAATAAAATTTAATATGTAATTACAACCAATCAATACATTTTTAAGTCATTTTTGAAAATCAAATTGCATATATAACTGGATCACTCACAGAAGACGGCTTGAAATAACACAAGTAGTGTGTTGAAGTGGATGGTGTCATGTGTTTCTACTCTTTTCTATTTATGTATGAATTAAAATTTCCATAATAAAAAGGTTTTATAAAGCAATATTATCTATGACTATTAAATGCCAGAACAAATAAATTAAGGAATTTCCAGTAATTAAGGATTGTTATTATCTGTCACTTAAGAAAAAGACCAAGATTCACCAACGTTTAAATTTCTTCCAGACTAAATAATTGGTCAATCTTTATTTTTAACAGGAGCAGGGTACCTATTTGTAAAACTCACATGTAAATAAGATAAGGAATATTAAGACTATATTGTTTGTTTATAAATAATATCAAATTTGCTAACAAATGATGCATATAAGTGAAAAGAGAAGCAGCCATTGTCCATGCATGAAGTAAATGTGTCTAAGAAGCTCCCTTCACCCTACTGAGACCCTTCTCTAAGTGCAAGTAAGCAAGCACAAAGCCACATCTATAGAAACAGCAATACTAGCTTTCCTGCATATTAGGTCAGGACCCATACTTACCAAATAACAAAATCCAAACCCTTATGGACAAAGAGAGGCCACATAGTAAACCTGACAAGCTTAGGGAAGCCTGATCTAGGATGGTCTGAAATTAAAGCCTTTTAATTACAAGCAGTTTATGGTGGGTAGTCATGTCCTAGGCGGTATCTTCTCTGACAAAGGTCAATCTTTACCTTAACTGAGCCTATTGTCTTTTTTCATCTATGATAACATATCTTTGGAATGTCTAAGTAATTTTCCTTTTTCTGAACCCCTCAAAGCAACAAGTACTGCTCTATGGAGACCACAAATCCCCTCAATGTTATTGCATTGTGTTGACTATTAACTATTCTATATCCACCTAAGTAAAAGAAGTGTGAGTCTATCATTTTACCTTTTATCCAATCCCAGAGGTTTCCTGCTTGCTTTCTCCCATTTCCCTAATCTATCACCAATGGATTTCATATAACCTACTTAAATCTCCTCTTTTGATTGTAATGCTTAAAATAAGGTACAAAACTGCCATTCTCCAGAGCATAATCTCAATCTGTTGAGACTTTGCTTCCTATCAATTGTTGACAGTTTGGCCCAAATAAAATTCACAAAAATTATCCACAGGTTTGAATGTTTCTTCTGTTAACACTCTGAAAAACCCACAAGCCTGTCACCCACACTTCTCTTAGTATTAAACATTAAAATCAACATGATTCCACTCAATGTGTAAGGAATTAAGCACTTACATAATAATGGCTCATTGTGTACATATCATTTTCCAGGTGACACTGTCCATCATTTGGTAAAACAATGCCACCAAGTTTCCCATCGCCAGCAAAGTGAAACCCAGCATCCGTAGAAAATACCAGCAGCCGTGTAACATTTCTCCAGCCAATCAATGACTTAAAAAGAAAAGGATTAAAATTCAAAATACTACTCACAATAATTCATATATGCTGCCATTGTATTTTTAAGCTTATTCTGTATTTTCTTTACCTTCTCTTTGCACAATGCTAAAACCATTCTAATAAAGAGGGAATATGCAAATTGACAGTCACACCATAAAATGGCTGCACCCACAGTGGAGGCAGAAATTTCATAACACAAGATGGATGCTCTCACAGAAGAAGCAGGGATCCCATAACACAAGATGGCTGCACCCACAGCCGAGTCCGAGTTCCCATAACGAGCTTTAAGGAGCCATCAGCAAGGACCTGAGGCTTCCTGGCATTGGGCCAGGGCAGGGAATCCGAGGCTGTGCCTCACACCAAGCAGGGCTTGACAAGATGACCCTAGGCCACACCTCCCACCCCAACACTGGGTCTGGATCTGGCCCAATGGAGGTGGGGCCAGCCGGGTTTGGGTCTTATACAATTTCAAGGCACATGTATTATAGGTGGCGACTTGACTGTGGTTCCATGGGCATGCCCCAGACTCTGACAGGAGGAAGATTTTCATATACATTTCACTAATTTTCTTTCACCTCTGACACTTCTATTATAGAGAAAGGGCAAATAGCAATATTAAAATATTTCCTCTAATTAATCCCCTTTTAATATGCATGAATTTTGTCACTAATAAAGAGGGAATATGCAAATTGATCATCAAACCATCACAAAGATGGTGGCACCCACACAGAGATAGGGTTTCCATAACACAAGATGGCTGTATGGCAGAGGCCGAGTCCCCATAACCAGCCTTAAGGAGCCATCAGTAGGGACCTGAGCCTGCGCCCCCTGCTCAGCAAGGCTTGATGGGGGACTGCAAGCTGGGGGACCTGAGGTTGCGCTCCCCTGCCTGGCACCAGACCAAGGTATCTGAGGCTGCGTGCCCTGCCCTGGTGCTAGGTTGGGGGACTTCAGCCCATGCACCCCCCCACCTGACAGGGCTTGACAGGGGACCTCAGGCTATGCCCCTAGCCGGGCAGGGCTTGATGGGAGACCTCAAGGTACACCCCCCGCACTGGTTCTGGGCTGGGAGACCTCAGCCTGTGTCCCTCGCCCAGCGTGTGTCAGAGCACTTGAGGCTGCAGGGCTTGACAGGGGTGGAGCCAGCCAGGTCTCGATCTTGCCCAGTGGAGATGGGGCTGGCTGGGGCTGGGTCCTGTGTGATTCTGAGGTGCCAAGGATGGGCAGGGTCCACCACGGGCCCCAGATTCTGACAGGAGGAAGATTTTCATATACATTTTACTAATTTTCTTTTATCTCTGACACTTCTATTACACAGAAAGGGCAAATAGCAATATTAAAATATTTCCTCTAATTAATCCCCTTTTAATATGCATGAATTTTGTGCACTGGGCCACTAGTTCTTGTGATAAATACAGAGAACCCATTGAATAAAGCTCCTCTATCCCACTGTAAAACTATATCTTGCCTGGTTTAGCTGTTTTAAAAACTGTTATCTTTTAAAATAAATGTCTTATTCCCACTAGGAGGTAAACAAACTAATTCTGTGTGTGGCAGGGACCACATCTGGTTTTGCTTATCTTCTCCACTGTAGCAGCTATACAGTGGTTAGTATACAGTACATGCTTCACATCATGTATTTGCTAGGTAAATAAAAATGTCTCTGCCCGTGCTTTAAAAACACACACACACACACACACACACACACTTCAGAGAGGAAGGGAAAGGGGAAAAAAATAGAAACATCAATACATCAATGATGAGAGAGAAACATTGATTGACTGCCTCCTGCATCACTTCCCTCCCTTTCCCCACTGGGGATTGAGCCAGCAAGCTGGGCTGGTTCATAGGTCGATGCTTACTTACTGAGCCCTGCCAGTCGGGCTCAGCCTTGTCTTTACTTTACCTTTCAGATGCTGTCTTGTTCCCTTCCATCCTCTATCCTTACTCTATCTTCTACAGCATATATATCCTTTATGGGCCCTCCATGTTAGGCCTTCCATTTTTAAACACAGAAAAAATAATCTTCTCCAAAGACTTGCCCTGCTTAATTCCATCATTATAACATATCAGTACTATTTACTTGTTTATTTTATTCTCCACCTTATTCAACAAAGAATTTAAGGTAGTCATAAAATCCTTTTCTCTCTCAGTAATTTTGTAATTATGTTTATCTAAATTTACTCAATACATCTGTTTACGTCCTCATTAAGACTAAATTCCTTGAAGGCAGAAATTAAGTTTTTTAATGCTGGCAACTCAGTGGAACATATGTCCCTTTCGCATCTAGAGTGAGTGAACAGTTACTCTCAGCTTAACAATCAGAAATCTGACAGTAGTGGCAACGGATATTATGGCTTGCTTTAATCCCACAAACTGAGGCACAGTCAGGTAGCCCAGAGAATGCTCTCTCTCACCAGTGAGCTGCTAACAGGATCACAATGAATGGCTGGAAAGAAAAGAGGTGTCAGGCTAAGCACTACCTAAATTACTCTTTCTTTCCCTTTAAAAGCAGGCTACCTTTAAATTGCAACTACCATGGGAGAAGTCAAAAGTAACAATAATATATTAATATCTGCTGAGTGCGTATGGCACTTTAGATGGATTACTATATTTAAAATTCATAATATGCCTAATGAGGTATATCTATTATTATCCCTTCTTAAGGAAAATAAAATAACCCTCTAGAATGGCTAAGTAATTGCCTGAGATAAGTGGTGATGGAAAAATTTGAAGTTATGCTCTAATAGTCTAAAGACTGCTCTCTTAATCACTCTACTATAGTGTTACATTATCTACCTCAAAATATTTTCTAATTTCAGCTTCAACTACCTCACTATAAGCTCATCCCAAAATCTACGGCTAGTAAATTAATCATAAAATTCTAATCACTAGTTTAATGCTACTACTGAAAATCTTATAATTAAAATTACAGCCCTAGTCGGTTTGCCTCAATGGCTGGAGTGTTGGCCTGCAGACTAAAGGTTCCCAGGTTCAACTCTAGTCAGGGGCACATCCCTGGGTTTTGGTCTCAATCCCCGAGACATCCAGTCAATGATTCTCTCTCATCATTGATGTTTCTCTCTCTCTCTCCCTTCCTCTCTGAAATCAATAAAAATATATTTTTTAAAAATTACAAATATTATGTCTTAAAATATTATGTTCTCAGTTTACAAATTAGGAGAAAGATTAGTGTGAGAAAGAAACATCAATTGGTTATCTCCCATACATGCTCCGATTGAAGATAGAACCTGCAAGCTGGGTATGTGCCCTACAGGGAATTTAACTGCGACATTTTGGTACATGAGAAAACACTCGGCAAACTAAGCCATACCAGCCAGGGCTAGGGAAAGGCCTATTTTAAAGATGATAAGCAGAAGAAAATTGATCAAAGGAAAATGACACCTGAGACACTGCTCCACTTGAGCACTTTTAATGCTACTGTGATACCTCAGATGACCTCAATCTGATACCTGGGTCTCTTCTAAAAACCTAGAACACCAGCTAAAGTGTCCAACTGTTTCAAATGATAAGCATACTTGATTTTTAAAAACCTGTATAAATGAACTAAGTGCCTAGGTCAAATAGAAACATGATTACATATGCTTGTCTAAAACACTTATGGTTAGAGAGAATTAACTGACTAAATTTTGTTCTTCTCTGGAATAACTAACTATGATATGGTAATAAAGATAATTTTTCCATTAACTGATAGTAAAAACACACTAAAATTCAAACAAATAATGTACCTTTGTAGAAAATAAATACACTTACCCCACAAACTGCAACTTGCATGATTGCATCAAAACCACCTTCTGGAGAATCCAAATTTCCAGATATGCGCTGTTTACCAACAAGATCATTAAATACTCCCCCTTTATCAGTAAGACTGAGCACATTTTTGTAGCTAAATGGGCTGGTGCAGTTCTGTTCACTCGTGCAAGGGTTCTTGAGCTTTGCTGGTGTTGTACTAATGTAAGGCATCACAGTTTTCTCCACAAATGAGCCAAACCCTGTGTAGGAAAAATGCATAAAGAGAAATGGATGGATAGGTGAATGGATAAACTTGCATTAAAAAAAAAAAATCAAGAATGTTGCCACATGTAAGTCAACCTTTTTCCTTACAAAAAAATAATAAGATTTTAATAATAATGTTTCAAAGGAGATCATTATAATATGAAAAATTCAGGTCTCAAGAGCTAGTAGGCTATACTGGCTGGTGCAATCATATTAATTAGTAATGAAATAGAACCTGAATATTCAACATGTTTATAAAATAAATCAACAAATGAGTGACTAAATTCCTGAACACAAGCATGCATTTCATTATCCATCTGGTAGAATATCAGCCAACCACATCTGTGGTTCTTGCATCTGCAGATTCAACCAAATGCAGATCAAAAATATTTTTTAAAAACCTCAGAACGTTACAAAAAGCAAATTTGAATTTGCCATGCATCGAGCACTATGATGAATCCATATGAATAAGGTGACGAGTAGGCAGTTCCTGCTGTTGCCTAAATGAAAATACCATTTATACACACACACACACACACACACACGCCTAAGAGACCATTAGGACAGAATGACTGCAATGACTGGACAATCAAAACCAGTCAACCAGTTGTTAAGACGTACACTGACCACCAGGGGGCAGACGCTCAACACAGGAGCTGCCTCCTGGTGATCAGTGCACTCCCACAGCCAACCTCCCATGGCTCTTCCCCTGGCTTGCCAACCTTCGCGGCCCCTCCAAATCAGAACCTCCCTCAGTCCCTCCCACCCCCAGCTAGCCACCTCCTTTGGTCCCTCCCATCCTCAGCTGGCCAACTTCCCTCTTCCCTGGCCAGCAGGCCTCAATTGGGACTGGGTGAGTTGACTCCAATTGGCAGCCAGGCTTCTAGTTCTTTATATAAGGGACTTGAGCATCCTTGGGTTTTGGTATCAGCATGAGTCTTGGAACCAATACCCAGTGGATATGAGGTACAACTATAATCTGTGTCAAATAACACAGTAGAATAGTTAACAGAGGAATAAGGAAAAAGAAAAATTATTAGATGTGTGACAAAAATTATCAGTTCTCTGAAAGAAAAAGTTAAATAAAACCTGACCTTATTTATCTCATAAGTATGTGATGAAGAACAAAACTGCCAAGATTTATACAATTGAAAAATATAATTTTTTCACTATTCCCACCTATTCGAAAGTCCGAAGTAATCCTCTTCATTTCATTCATCAGATCTGTTCCAAGACTTTTTACATTCTCCAAGTCATCTTTCATAGAGTAAGAAAGGTCCATTAGGTAGTAGAGATCAATGGGATAGTCTTCAGCTCTCTTGAATTTTAATGAAAATGTTTGAGGCTCCCCTAATTAAACAAATATTAGAAGATGAAAAAAGCAATGAGAAAAATCAAACAGTCTGTATTTGCAAGGTAGACACCATAAAATGAAATGTATTATTTGTTATATTTTTCACAAAATTCTATACATATTACAATGGGTGTGTATTCAATTTCATTCAAATACTTACAATGCCAGAGCCTGGGGATACAAGATGAAAAAGACAACATCCCAAATCCATAGTGGGTGAAACAGACAAAAATGGTTAATTTATTACTAGCACAGAGAAAAACAAGTAGATGAAAAAAACATAAATGAAACGGGTGGGTGAGAAGGGCACATTACAGGGTACACCTGACTTTTTAGAGTTTGAAGTTGTAAATCAAGACTGTTCTCTGTTTAATGAAATCCTTCTGTATGCAAATAACATAATCTGTTTTTTTACTTTAGAAAACCTGGTAAAAAGTTTTAAAAATTACAGAGACAAAGAAACTTGTTAAGAAACTATAGCAAAAATCGAAAACAATGCAAGTCTGAATGGTAACAATGAGGAAGGAGAAGAGAGATGAGTAAGAAGTGTTAGGTATAATTCACTTAGAAAATACGTGAGAGGCCAAAACCGGTTTGGCTCAGTGGATAGAGCGTCGGCCTGAGGACAGCAAGGTCCCAGGTTCGATTCCTGTCAAGGGCATGTACCTTGGTTGCGGGCACATCCCCAGTAGGGGGTGTGCAAGAGGCAGCTGATCGATGATTCTCTCTCATCGATGTTTTGAACTCTCTATCCCTCTCTCTTCCTCTCTGTAAAAAGTCAATAAAATATATTTATAAAAAAGAAAATAAGTGAGAAAGAGAAGGATTGGGTGGGGGGAAAAAAAACATAAAAATTTAACTTGTAGTCCTAGCCAGTTTGTAGTCCTAGCCAGTGGACAGAGCATCGACCTGCAGACTGAAGGGTCTTGGTTTTCGATTCTGGTCAAGGGGACATACTGAGGTTGCAGGCTCAATCCACATGTGGGAGGCAACCAATCAATGTGTTTCTTTCATATCAATATTTCTCTTTCTTTCTCTCCCCTTCTCTTCCACTCTCTCTAAAAATCAATGAAAAATATCCTTGAGTAAGGATTAATAACAACTACCTTGTAGATTATTTCTATATAAATTTCTAGTACATAGTTCAATAAATGGGTTTGAACCTTAAGAGAAAACTCTGTATGACAATATACAAATGGTTTTAAAGCCATAAAAGAAAAGCCTACAACTAGGAGGAGTGCAAAGAGAAAGGAAGACAAAAAGACACACTCAAAAAAAGTGTTTAGGAGTGATATATTAGAAGAGAAAGAGCTCAAAGGCATCACTTGGTACAGAAAGGTTAAAAAGAAAAGGCCCCCCCAACAAAGGTACACTAGACTTAGTGGTTCAAGGTGATGGTAGAGCTTTGCCAGAACAGGCTAAGAGGCAGAAGCCTGACTGCACCAGAATGAAGAGTAAATGGGAGTGAAAATAAGGGACAAAAGTAATATGCACCACTCTTTTGAGAGAAAGGGGATAGACCTTGGAATTAGCAGGAAGAGGGCTTGTGTTTTGTTGTGGTTGAGATTCGAGATTGCTACAGATTCTGATAAAAACCTTAATAATTTAACAATATTAAACATATACAAAGGAAAAATATAGGCTAAAATGTTGTCTGCATATATGAACACTTATTTTTAAAACCCATTACATCTATTACTTTCTTAATCTTTAATAATTTACCTTGAACATTAGGCAATATTTATTATTATTTCAATTATGTAGTACAAATTTTTATGTCTGGAAAAACATGTCTAAAATGTAATGCATTCCACATTTCTACTTGAGAGCCAGTCCACATATGAAAATGAACCCTCAACAGAAACTGATGAGGATTATATAAAGTTGTAAAAAGCTCAAGTTGAAACAAAGGTATCACAGAATTAAATGTCTTACCTGATCGTAATTGCAAAACCAACTGCTGTGGTTGGATCTGTGTTATATCTTCTGGTTTGAGCTTCTCTGCAGTTCCTTTGCTACGGTTGGTTACATTTTTATTTTTCTTTATATCTTTGGAACCTCTGGGATTTTCTATATCATCTGGATGACAACCCTTCTTTTTTAAGGCTTCTAAATCATCACATCGTGCAGAAGTAGGCATTCCTTCTTGTAAAAATGTCTAAGTGACATTTAATAAAATATAGGTATAAATAAAAAGTATAATGGTCAAATCTTTCACTTAACTGCAAATAACACAAATTGCACAAATCAAGTGACATAACGAATGTACCTAATTCCTAGTTTTTAAACAAAATGTTTCCTTCATCTAATCCATAAGTGCTCTTACTTATAAACAAAACTAGAGGCCTGGTGCATGAATTCATACACCAGTAGGGTCCCCCAGCCTGGCCTGGGGGATCCAGCTGAAATCAGCTTTCTGGTATCTCTTATGGGGTCAGAGAGAGACGTGAGAGGAAATCTGACCAGCCAGGGAAAGATATGGGAAGGCTCCAGGGCATGTCCAACCCAGGAGAACAAGCTAACCTACCAGTTGGAGTGTCTGCCCCCTGATGGTCAGGGCACCTCAGAGTGAGCGGTTGAGCAGCCTTAGCATATCATTAGCATATTATGCTTTGATTAGTTGAACAGCTTACCAACAACTGGACACTTAGCATATTAGGCTTTCATTCTGTGTTATGTTTCCCTGGAGAGTAATTATGTTTTTACTAATATATTGCTAGTAATATATTATTTTAATAATACTTAGGACTGATCTAAGTATACATTTTAACTATGCCACCTTCAAATTCAAGTATCAAATAAAAAATTTATTTGGTGAAATCACTAATTAACATGATTAACATCCATTAATAATGTAAATACAACCAAATAGCAAATATTTTTCCTTAAGAAAATTCCTTAGAAACCTCTCATATTATGTAGCTTTTTCCACCATAATAACCTTCTACAATATACTATGGAAAACATGTTATCCTGAAAGCCTCTTGATTAATGATGTCATTTTAAACAAAAGAAGAAATTTAGCACAAATTTAGTATTGTTAGAGATTTAAAACAATTTTAAGTATTAAATATTACTGTAAACAATACAGTAAGTGATTATATGACTGGATAAATTGTAAAAATAGAAAAGATCATAATTGTATGTAAATGGTACTTGTGGTTTGTGGTAAATTTCCAGTAGCGACATGATTTTGGAATGTGATATACATCAACAGCTTAGATGAAAATAAAAATCGTATCAGATGACCAAAGTACCTTAATAAAAACAAACACTGCTTTAAAGATGTATATAAAAGATTTTGAATAACATGTTTTCATGAAATGTGAGAGAAGGATAAACAATGTGAGTGTATGTATGTATGATTTTTAAATGTGTACATATAACTAAATCAATTATTATAATAGACATTTGACATATATCCCTAAAAGTTATATATTTAGTAAGTCAAAAAATTTTAAATCTTATCATTGGGAAAATAAGAGAATGCCTTTCTTTTGGGGACACTTATATTCACTTTGATATGGTATTCTATGATCTACCAATTTTATGGTGTTGTATATAGTTAAGAACATTTAAATACAAAAAATAAACTGGTTTTGATCAGTTGTTTTTAAAAGGAAACATAAGCCTAAATGAGAACATTTAAATAATTAGAAAAACTTAAAAAAAAAAAAAAAACACATGCCATGGATCAGATGGTTCAAAATTACACAGTTTTTATGTATTATCAAACTTTAGTAAATACTACCTACTACACTAGTATATCTTTCTAAATATTAGCCAATCCAGAAATCATAACATGTAGATAAAATGTCATTCAACATATTCCAAAATAACCTTAATAACTTAAGAATTATGCTACAAAGGTAAAAGGCTAAACTATTTACCTAGGGTAGGATAACTGTCAACTCCAGACAAACTATCTATACTAATAATCTATAGTAATAAAAGGGTAATATGCAAATTAGTTAGGACACCCACATACAAGGACCGAACAGCAGGCTGCATGGGATGACTAAGCTGGCAGGGGGGGCAGTGAGGGGCAACCAGGCCAACATGGGGGGAGAGGGAGGAACATTTGGGGCCAACCAGGCTGGCAAGGGGGACAGTTAGGGGCAATTAGGCCAGCAGGGTGCAATTGGTGATCAGGCAGGCAGGTGAAAGATTAGGAGCCAGTGATCCCAGATTGTGAGAGGGATGTCCAATTGCCAGTTTAAGCCTGATCCCTAAACTGGCGGTCAGACATCCCCCAAAGAGTCTTGGATTAGAGGGTGCAGGCTAGGCTGAGAGAACCTCCCCTCCTTGCACTGTGCATGAATTTTGTGCACTGGGTCTCTATTAACCTTAATAAAATGGATACTGTTGATGATAGTAGTTACCACTCATTTAGAACCTTTTAAGTGAAACTGCAATTAAGTTCAGCACTCCCTATTTCCTCCATTGTCTCCAATTTAATTCCAGAATACTATTTTTAGGAAAACAGAAAGTAACCATTAGAAACATTTTGAAATAACAAAACAAAAACCTTTCATTTTTTTCTTTCAGATGGTCAAAGCAAATTTGACCAGTTATGTCTATAAAACGGGTACTTGAAATGTGGAGGTCAAATAACTAAATAAAAACAAACAAGTTTTGACCTTCTGATATTCACTGTGAATTAATTATACATCTTCAAAAAGACTTTCCTTCAATTCCTGTTCTAATCCATTCATTCTTTCGTTGGTTTGTCTGTTCATTCAGTAAGCTATTGTGGAAGGTTCCATGTTAAGCAATATATAGAGATGACAAAAGTGAATAAAATTTAAACTCTAATTTCAATAGCTGACAAATCAATTCAGATGTAAATCAATTCCATATTAGTTTAATCAAATATAATCAGAAATGGTAATTTATACCTCTCCCATCTATAAAAGGAAAAACCCTAAAATAGTCAAATTAAATAGCTAGAGTTGGGGGGCAGATATCCAATAGAAATATAATACATTCCACAAAGGTGGGCTATATATATAAAATAATTATTTTTAAAAATATTAATAATGTTGAAATGCTAATAAGTCTTCAAACTTTGTTATTTATTTGAGGCTTACAGCAATTCTCAATTTGAACCACCCATACTTCAAGTTTTCAAGTCACATGTACATTTGTACACAGACATTGATTTAAATGAAAATTCACATCGAGCTTTTCCAAGGATACAGTTGTGTGTAATACTACATGACTAGAGAATGGAAAAAATTTGTGCTGTCTTACTTACTGAATTTGTACACCATCCACAATTTGGCCCTGCTTGTATACATTCTCCACATGATTTGGCATTTGCTTTTAAACATCTATTTTCATCTGTCAGGGAAAAAAAGAATAGACCACTTTATTTGATGTGTCAAGAGAGAAAATAATAAAAAACCAGGATTACAATGATGAATTATATATGAACATTAAATTTGAATACTATGATCTAGACCTGCCCAAAAAGGCCCCAAAGAGTAGTGATTCTAGATTACCTTAACACAAAGCCATAAAAAGACAGTTATCTTTCTTGCCTTCTATAGCAAGGACTACCTACAATTATTAATGCACATTTATCCTTTTTATCAAAGGCATAATTCCAGATCTATCAGGTTGAATGGTCCTAATTGTCAGTTTTCTTACAAATGCGCAAAGCATACTTCATTTAAGTTATATCGCCAAAACCTATAAGCATCCAGCAGTTTTCCCTTTATATTATCCTATATAATAAAGCAATACTATGCAAATTGACCATCACTCCAACACATAAGATGGCTGCCACAAGATGGTCAGCAGGGGAGGACAGTTGTGGGTGATCAGGCCAGCGGGGGGGGTGGGGGGGGGACAGTTAAGAGGGACCAGGCCTGTAGGGGAGGACAGTAGGGAACAACCAGACCAGGAGGGGACAACAGTTAGGAGTGACAAGGGAGGACAATTGGGGGTAACCAGGCCAGCAGGGAGAGCAGTTAAGGGCGACAGTCATCAGGGGAGGGCAGTTAGGGGTAACTGGGCCATCCGGGGAGGGCAGTTGGGGGTGACCAGGCAGACAGGGGAGGGCAGTTAGGGGCAATTGGGCCAGTAGGGGAGCAGTTAGGCGTCGATCAGGCTAGGCTGGCAGGCAGAAGCGCTTAGGCGCAATTAGGCAGGCAGGCAGGCAGGCAGGAGAATGGTTGGGAGCCAGCAATCCTGAACTGTGAGAGGGATGTGGGATCAGGCCTAAACGGGTAGTTGGACATCCTTTGAGGAGTTCCAGATCAGAGAGGGTGCAGGCTAGGTTGAGGGACACACCCTTCCCTCCTCTCCCACCCCCTGCCCCGTGCACGAATTTCATGTACCATGCACGTTTATCCTTTTTTTGGTCAAAGGCATAATTCCAGATCTATCTAGTCTCTAGTGTTAAATATTTGAAAAGTTCATATTCATCCAAGCCAAAATCACATGATTTATCAGGCTCTGTGTTCAAAGTTTGTTTTATAAATCTTTAATATAAATATCAGCATGCCTTTCATGTGATAAACACTGACATGGACTGTCTCCAATGTGTCTTTTCAGATTATGCTCATTATAGAAAACTTTAAAAATACATAAAAACATTAAGAAAAAAACCTAAAAATTACCCACAATGTGTTCATAAGATAGAACTATTATTATATAATCCTTCTAGTCTTTTTTCATATAAATAGGTAAAAAAATATATATATATATCAAGAATCACAATATATATACATTATATAAATGAAATTAAGAACATACATTTTGTGTACTACTTCTTATACTAGCCCCATGGTCAGCAAACTGTGACTCGCGAGCCACATTCAGCTCTTTGGCCCCTTGAGTGTGGCTCTTGCACAAAATACTACGGCCTGGGCGAGTCTATTTTGAAGAAGTGGCATTAGAAGAAGTTTAAAAAATTTCACTCTCAAAAGAAATTTTAATCGTTGTGCTGTTGATATTTGGCTCTGTTGACTAATGAGTTTGCTGACCACTGTACTAGCCTAAAAGTATCATTATAAATTATTTAAAAGGATGGCTTTAATAATTGCATATTTCACTATATTGCACCCTATTTAGTGAACAAACTTATTCATACATGCTTGCTCACATGCACACACAAACCCTTGAAACACATACGCACACATATGTACACATAGATGCACCCATTCAGATGATCCCATTCTTATAATATAAAACTATTTTTTATCATAGATTTTTAACAAAATACTGAGTTAAAGAATATTAACGGCTTTAAAATCCTTGATACACACTAATTTCTACCCAGAATTAATATTCTCACAATCAATATACAAATACCATTTCATTAACTGGCATTTAATTAATGCATTAAGTAATTAATATAAATATTTCAACATTACTAATACAATTTTTTTACTAATAGGATAAATTAGAATATCAATTCAATTGTCAATTACTTAAGGTCTCTAATTTTTTCATATTTTTACTGACCATATATCTTTTGTAAATTTTCTATCTTTTGCAAATTTTTCTATTATGTTCATATGTTTTTATTGGATCTCTGTTGATGGTGTTTTGACATTTAAATATTTTGGGATTTTTATGTTGTTGTTGGTTTTATGCATTTCAAAATTATCAATATTTCCCTTATGATTTCTTTCTTCATTTTTCTGTATTGTAAGTCTTTCCTATCCTGAGATAAAATAATTGTTCTACAATGCATATTTTTAGAACTGGAGAACAGACATTTTATTATTTTAGATGTGGACGCATCATGGTTTCTAAGAGGATTAAATACGTTTTTGGCTTTATTTTCCATTCTTCTACTAGCAGTGCCAACATTTTGATAAAATAATAGGAACATATACTAGTCAATTGTTCCTGGTTTCAGTTTTATAGATCATAATAGATAGTTCATAATCTACCATTCCGTATTTTTATTTCTTTTCTTCTAAATATATTACATGTCATTGCTTTTTCTAAGCTCAAACACTCCACTACCTTCTCAAAAGTTTTTTTTGTAGTGTATTGCCACAACCTTCACAGTGAGGTTCAGGATCTGAAGGAGAGGTTGATGCACAAATGAAAATGCTATACAAGAAATATGAATTTAGAAGCCATTGGGGGCCAGATGAAGCCTCTTTCATGAAGAGACACACTGACTGCTGGCCCGTCTGCTATTTATTTACTTGAATACACAATTTCCTTTAGCAATGCATACAAGCAGATAAAAGGTAAAGTTTGGTAAACAATAAAAGGATTATTCAGGTTAGGGAATTGCCTTGAGCCACCACTAAATCAACAAAGTTCTTAGTGTTAGCCCTTCTAATGCCCAAGGTCCAACAGCCTTCTGCATTCCTTAGTACACTGACAGCATTGGCAAGTGGTGCCTTCCAGTAGTGTATTATCCTATATAATAAAAGTCTAGGTGGCATCACCACAAGATGGCCATCACAAGATGGCTGGCAGGGGAGGGCAGTTGAGGGCAACCAGGCCTGCAGGGAAGGGCAGGACCATCAGGGGAAGGCAGTTAGAGGCAACCTGGCCTGCAAGAGAGGGCACTTGCAGGTACCCAGGCCTGTGGGGGAAGGCAGTTGGGGGGCACTGGGCCAGCAGGGGAGAGTAGTTTGGTGCAATCAGGCCCACAGAGGAGTGGTCAGGGGGCAATCATGGGAGGGTACTTAGGGGCAACCAGGCCGGCTGGCAGGCAGAAGCAGTTAGGGGAGCGGTTTAGGGGGTGATCATGGAAGGGCACTTAGAGGTAATCAGGCAGAAAGGTAGGTGAATGATTAGGAGCCAGTAGTCCTGGATTGTGAGAGGGATGTCTGACTACTGGTTTAGGCCCGATCCCGCAAGTATCAGGCCTAAACTGGCAGTCAGACATCCCCTGAGGGGTCCCAGATTGGAGATGGTGCAGGCTGAGCTGAGGGACAAGCCCTCTCTGCCATCTTCCTTCCAGTGCACAAATTTTATGCACTGGGTCTCTAGTCTCTATATATCAAAGCTTATGCAACCGAGCGACTGATCAACCAGTTGCTATGATGCTCACTGACCTCCAAGGAACAGATGCTCAAAGCACAGGATCAGGATCAGGCTCGGTCCTGTCAGGATTGGGCCTGTGGGGATTGGGCTCCCTCCTGTCTGGATTGGGCCTTCAGGGATCAGTATGAAACCAGCTATCCAACATCCCCTGAGAGGTTCCAGATTGTGTGAGGGCACAGGCCAGGCAGAGGGACCCCACTGGCACATGAATCTGTGTACTGGGCCTCTAATATCCTATCATCTTAGCATTTCACTTACAGACCTGCCTACCATATTTCTGGGTGGCAAAGGTGAGGGGGCCTTGCCCTTTACTCTGAGTGAGATAGAGCAGGACTTTGAAATGGATCAGTAAGAACTGACTTAGATCTCCCTTGAATTTAACTATCAAAAAGCCATATGAGACACAAAATGAAAACATAAATATGGTTTTTTATTTACCTGCTTGGCCAAACACATAGCAAACTGAACCAATAAGTCCAATCCAGAAAATCAGTTGTAAATTCATCTGAAATATAAAATGTACAATATATTTTAAAAATAAAACACATTAAACATAAATCATTTCTATCTACCTTAACATAATACTTTCCATCATTTTTCCTCCCACCTTTCTCCGCACCCCAGTCATTTTACCTTTTCTCCTCATGTACCTCATCTTTCATCTACACCAACTAAAATAACTTTCATAACAAATCTCCAGAATCTGTTCTTACTTTTCTTCAATTCACATATATTTAATTGATAGTACTTCAAAAAAGACTATGAGTGTTGAGTATTCTCTAACACTATAAAAGCTATTAACTTTCTTTGTCCTGTGAAGTATGTATCTCTATTACTGCCTATGGCTCCTAAGGGATCAAACAGGCATATCTAGAATGCAACATCCTCTTACAATTTTTAAATAGTTTTTAATTTTCCTCATATCCTGTACAAGGTTCTGACTCAATTTTCTTATTTCTTTTTTAAGAAAATCAACTTTTATGCATGGAGTTAATAAAATATTTAATTTAATTCCCCATAATTTCTATATCTACAAACTAGACTCCAAAAAGGTGGGGGAGGAAGGGGCATAAGAAACCTAAAAGAGGCTTAAGTCTTACAGAGGCTTAAACCTAAAGAAAAATTAAATAATATTTTGTATATTAAGCAGAATACCTAAACTATTATACACTAGTGTCCTGGTACACAGACTCATGTATATTGAAAGGAAATTAGAAGAAATATTTTAATATCTCTATTCTCAGCTTGCTAATGAAAAGAAAATAGGATTCTACAGAGTCTCCTATCTACCTACTACAGGACTTCTGTGAGGATAAAATGAGATGAGGCGTGGGAAAATGCTTCCCAAACATTTGGTTTATCTATAAAATGTTTGCACCTGGTTATAAAGCAAGTTGGGTTCCTGGGCTGAAGAGACTCCAAGGAGGCAAGTCACTAGGGAGAGGAAGCCAGGTGCTGCTATGTGACATTATTACCTGGCACCTACAGCGACCGTTTCCTGGCTGGGCTGGGCTGTGGGCTACATTTTTTGCCATGGGGTCTTGACAGCAATGGCTGCAATTTGGTAAGGTGTTGCTCCTGGGTAGTGGTGGGCTGTATCCCACTTGAGGGAAGTTGAGTGTTGGTTTGTTGGCGCCACATTCGTAGTGATGTCTATTTTTAAGCTAGAGGCCCGATGCACAAAGATTCATGTAAGAATGGGCCTTCCTTATCCTGGCTGCTGGCACCACCTTTGCTCCAGTCGGAGCATCCTTTCCACCTTCCCACACTTTCCAGAGGCCTAGAGCATCTGGGGCAGTGTGGAACACCCCTGGCCACTTGGCACCTGTGTATGCAAATTAACCTACCATCTTTGTTGGGTTAATTGGCATACTCACTCCTGATTGGCTGGTGGGTGTCACGAAAGTAAGGGCAATTTGCATCTTACTCTTTTATTAGTGTAGATGGCCAGTGTGCATCATGGCAGCTTCTGCCTTCAGTATCTGCCCCTGGTAGACAGTATGTGTCATAGCTACTGGTCAGACACACGGACACTTAGCCTTTTATATATAGAAATAGCAATTTTCTGTGAATCAAAGTTTTTACTATATTAATCTATACTTCCCAATTTGTCGAAGACAGCTATAGCCAGAGGTCACTGATCCTATCCCTTAACTACTTTCTGCTCTGGACTAGCAGCCAGTAAAATAATTATGCATAAATTTCTGTCCCAACCATATAAAAAAAACAAACACCGGGGGGGGGGGGGGGAGGCGGGGAGGAGAGCTTCATTAGTTATCAAATAAAAAGAAATGAAAGCAATATAAGGTAAACCAAGTAATTAACCTAAAAATTAACCTAACAAAACTTAATGCAGAAGACTGAGAGAAACCAGATATGGCTCTGTAAACTAGTATAATTAGGGGGAAAATAATTTAACAACCTATATCAAAAGTCATGAAAATATGTTTCTACCCTCTGAATTAGCAATCTATAATAGCTATTGGGAATTCATCCTAAGGAAATAATTAAAAATGTAAGAGATGATACACATGCACATACACAATCAGTACAGAACTCAAGGGTGAAAATAGGTTTACAATTGTTTGTATGGAAAAATATAATAATTACTAAATACTAATATAAGAATAAACTCTATGTTTCTGTATTCACAACTGTAAAGCTACTTTTACCCAACTCTATATTTACAAGAGGTGAAAGTGCAAACATCCTCTACCCAAAAATAGGGCAATGGCTAATTGTACCAACTTAATAGACTTATTAGAGTCATAAGAATAATAAAATGAAGTAACATCAAAAGGTTTATAGAATAATTTTGGATGTAAGATATACATTAATATAACAAGTATGGAAAAATAACAGCATATAAAGTAACCCAAGAAATCTGTAGATGACAAACAGCTGTAAGCACAATATAGATACTATGGATTTATTTTTTTTAAACTGTTATAGTCTTTTCTTCTTTTATGGATAAGTAGCTAGTATGCAAGTATTCATTTGGTAAATTTCCTTTATTTCGCAAAATATATATTTTTAAAACCTCCATCTCCAAAAACTTACACTCCAGGATGCAATTTCCATAGCTCCCATAACAGTACTTTGAAGTTGTCTTAGAGCACTTGCATTTTCCCTGATGTGAACAGTTGTTCCCTTTTCTCTGTTAGCTTCCCAGAGAAAATTAATAATAAACATGCATAGTCATCCACTTGGCAAATGTGCTCAGACTAGCCAAGTTCTTTTTTTTTTTTTTTTTTTAATGCCAGGAGCTTAGAGTTGTGCTTATATATCAGTGACTGGATCCAAAAGACCAAGAAAACTGACACAAAGTGTGAAATGCTTAACAGTTCACCTTTTAAGGCCTACCTAAAAGATGCAACATGTAATAAATCCATGTAGACCATACTTCTAAGCAACTCAAATGTTATCAATTTCAATGACTAAAAGGACCTGGAACATTAAGACTCCCAAGGAAATGCATGACTGTGTCAAATGGAGCATCGAAGGCAGTTTCTGCACAAAGACCATATATGGACTGATAGTGTTTCATACTTCTCAGGTTACTTCACTAGACTATCTTGAGAAACCTCTTAAAATATTACACACTTCAGAGAATCACTACTAAAATAACGTTATTAGGTAACAGAAAATATTTCCTATCATTCTTAGGTTACATAGTTTCAAAATATTTCTTTAAATGCCATCGTCCTCCTATAAACATTGTCAAACCAAAGATCAGCCTCTGAAAACATTAGGCCTCTGGAAGAGCTCAAACCCAGAACAAAACAAATCAAGACTTTAGTGTTAAGCACAGCTGAGAGAATAAGGACAACATTCAAGAACAGCTCAAGGACAAATGTCAGCTCTCCTGTGACTGGTCAGTATACCGGCAAAACATCGAGGCACAGTCACTGGCTAGTAATGTAAAAAGGACAGGATTTCTGTCCAAAAAACAGAAGCCACAGGAGATAGAAGACAGAAGTTAAAAATAAAGAGTGATGTAGGACAATAAGGGTTAGAAGAGAGCCTGGTTTGAAGTGGCCACCAGGAAAGTCAGCAGCAGAGAGCTGGATAGTGAAGAGGAAGTACAGAGAAACCACCATGTTGGGAATGGGGGCCTGTGCTGTGTTTCCAGGAATTCTTACACAGAGAAAAGGTGGCTTAAGGAGTTTCCCATCAAGGACATTTCACATAGAATAGTATATATTAGGGGCCAACAGGGAGAGATGCCTTCCGATATTATCCTGACCCTATTTTTTGTATCCTTTTCTATTCAAAGGTCTAGAAATAGTTGTCTACACTGGTCTCCATTTCAAAACCTCCTACTACCTCTGCCATAATTGGTGTCCACTCCTTACCATGCACGTACAACTGCTCTTACAAAAGAATACTTCCCAGACTTCCCTTATCCTTTACGTTCATTAATGCGTTAAAGAATGTCTTGACTATCTACAATATGCACTTGAGGGGAGACAGCAGCTTACGACCCACAAAAATTACATATTTAATACATTTCACCATTGTTCTTAAAACACTCTATTTCCTTGTACCACTCGTGTCTCTGAAAGTTCTTCATCATACAACTATGTCAGGTTTGTGCCCTATCTAGAGATATCTCAAGGAATTTTCCCTTCAAAGATAAAAATTCAAATAATTACAAAATGACATGATGTTTTCTATAATGAAGACAAAAACAAAGTGCACTAAGGACCCAAAATCTGCCCGGTATGTTCAGAGGCTTCATGGAAATGGCAATGTTTCAGCCAGAATCAGACATGTAAGAAATAGGTTGGCAAACGGAGAAAAGACTTTCAGGCAAAAAGGTTTGTACATGCAAAGTCATGGAGTCCTGATATGAATTCTAATTATTCCTTTTCAGCCTTAATTTCTAATTAAGTCATGTGACTACACACCTCCACAAATGGAACTGTCTCACTCTATCTTTAGAGAAAGACCAAAAAAAAAGTGTGTGAGAGTGTGTGTGTGTGTGTGTGTGTGTGTATATATATATATATATATACATATATATATATATATCCTAATATGCAAATAAACTGAACTATGGGATAACCAACCAAACAACTGGTCACTCTGAGGTGCACTGACCACCAGGGGGTGTGCGTGGAACATGATGGGCATCAGTAGAGTGTGGAACATGGAGGGTGTCGGCCACTATGGGATGGTGGAGCAAGTGATTGGGGACGCCAGACCAAGATGGGGTGCTGTTCACTGTCATCAGAGCGAACCTCTGGTGGTTACTGAAAATTCTTTGTTCCTGGACACCATGGTCCTATCCAGTGCTCGATCCCACTGCCAGTGCCTAACTTGGGCCTTGATTCCTCAGCGCCATCAGCAGGTGCCAGCAGCGGCTGCTGGCCTGATCACCCCTCAAGACTTCTCCACCTCCCTTGCTCCTGAGGAATGATAGGGGCCAGCAGCCACCTCTCGCATCTGCTGCCAGCGATGGCCCTACTTGCACCCACTGCTGGCATCGACCCCAATGGAGTT